TTTTATGACTCAAAAACCCTTCAGCTACATGCAGGGACCTTGAAGAGACTGGCTGCAGAGACCTCAAAGAACGTTGGTCCAGTGAGGATATTTTGGGTGGGTCTCGTTGCAGAGACCACAAAGATGGCGGCAACGTTGATGACATTCTGGGTGGGTCTGGTTGCAGAAACCACAAAGATGGCGGCAACGTTGATGATATTCTGGGTGGGTCTGGTTGCACAGACCACAAAGGGTCCCAAAGAGAGGTGTTCCGGTGACATTCTTGGTGGGTCTGGCTGTGCAGACCACAAAGAGAGTGCCCAGACCCACACACTACCACCCAGACACAATAGCGGCGCATCTCCCTCAAGAAGTCACACGGGCAGCGCCATTGTTGTGCCAATATTTCCTCCTCTCAGATTCCCCAGCTACCCCGGGATAGATCCCAGGCATCTCAAAGCACATCCTGGGTATATTATGACTATTATACGATTTGTGGGCATCGTATCAATGGCTGTTTTATGAGGAATGTTTGTCGGATGCCTGAAGGATTCTTTTCTCTCTTCTATGGGAAATTGCCTTACTTTACCCCATGAGGTAACAGCGGCAGTTTTTTCTCACAAAGATCCGACGAACCAGCTGTTACCGTTATATTAAAATATCACTATAACGCGTGCCTTCCTGAAAGCCGATTTATATACCTTGATTTACCTGCATAACTTTAATAATAATAATAATAATAATAATAATAATAATAATAATAATAATAATAAGAAGAAGAAGAAGAAGAAGAAGAGTAAAAATTATAATAACAATAATAATGATAATAATAATAATAATAACTTGAAATTTAATAATTCTTAATTGTCTGTTTTATCAAACAATTCACAAGTTCTCTCACACTAAACCATAAATAAAACAATGATTAAAAAATGAACAGTGTTGTCAGAGGAAGCTAGAGCTCGGCCTCTTGAAACACCTAGATGGTCGAGTAGCGAGTGTGGGAGTTAAAACACCATCTAATACTCGTAGGTTCATAAGAAGCGGGGCTAGGAGCTGGAGCTGAACTCCCTCAAGAGGTAAGAGACAGGTTTCTAAAACACCTAGGAAGATGATGAGCAGGAGAAAGAAAACAGTTCTTCAACATAGCTAGGAGTAAGGAAGTAGACAGTCCTCAGACACAGCTGGGAAGATGAGGAGAGGGAGTAACAGGCCCAGGAACTGGATCTCAAATCTATCAAAGAACGACACTGATCCAGTTGCTGGACCAACATCAACAACTAAAGTAATGGAATGCTCGAAAGTTATTGTGAGTTTCAGGCTTAAGGGGTGTGTAACGTTGATACTGAAGTGTCACACCACCTGTGTCACACCACCTGTGTTACACCACCTGTGTCACACCACCTGTGTCACACCACCTGTGTCACACCACCTGTCACACCACCTATGTCACAACCCCTTTGTCACACCACCTGTGTCACACCACCTGTCACACCACCTGTGTCAAAACCCCTGTGTCACACCACCACCTGTGTTACACTACCTGTGTCACACCACCTGTGTCACACCACCTGTGTCTGAAGGCAATTAATTCTGAGATTTGCTGTCCTCGCATATGCTAAAGATGCAATTTGATTTTTGTGTTCATCTGGTGATGTTCACTCCAAGAGCTTTATCCTTAAGAGATAGTATATATGATTTCTCGCCTCTTAAGTTGTATTCCGTTTCTAGTTGCCTCTCTCTCTATCCTTTAATTTCATGACCTTATACTTGCTAGGGTTAAACAGTAGCCTCTCGCTCTCTTTATCAGTTAATATTCTTTTCATCGGTTTTATTTCATCAGCAAATGATGAGACATACGACTCAATCCCTTCTGGCAGGTCATTTACGTTTATTAAGAATAATGAAGGTCATATAACTTACCTGTTTGGAAACCACCATTGTTACTCTTTCCCATCCTGAAATATCTGTCCTTACCATCCCCCTCTCTGTCTTCTGTTGACTAGGTATTCCTTGATCCACTGTAGTATTTACCCTTAACCTTATATACCTGTGTGCTCTAATTTGTGGATCAATCTCTGGTGGGGTACAGTATCAAATGTTTTCTTACAATCCAAGAATAAGCAGTCAACCCAACCTTGTCTTTCTTGCTTAATTTTTATTATTCTGTCATAGAACTCCAACAGGTTAGTGAGCTAAGACTTACCTTCCTTAAATCCGAGTTGGCTTTCAGTAAGAAAAAAGTCCCAACTCATTAGATTTCCTACCACACTTTTTCTAATTGCATTTCCCAATACCTTGGACAGTATACATGTCAATGATACTAGGCAATAATTCAGTGCTTCTTGTGTGTTCCACTGCATGTTTACTTGGATCAGGTTTACAATTTTCCAGCTGTCTGGTACATTTCCCATTTCCAGGGACATGTTGTAGATCGTTACTATAAGTTCACACAGTTCCTCTGCTCCTTCTTTCAGTATCCATGGTGATATGCCGTCAGGCCCCACGGCTTTTGATGTGTCTAATTCTTTTAGTAGATTTATTACTTCCTCCTTTGATACACGACTTCTGTCCAATGTTTGTTGAATAGCTTTTTCAACCCAGCATTCTAGCACCATCACAGAAGGCAACTTCTCTGTTGCCTTCTGTGAGTTTCCTTCACTCCCTCTTCAGCCTTATTTCTTGGAATTTTAGTCATCTTCCTTCTTAGGTAACTATGTAGCAGCTTCGGCTTTGATTTGGTATTTGCTTTTATGTCATTCTCAGACTGACATTCAGCTTTTCTTATCCTTGCAAATGCATTCCTCGTTATTTTGAGTACCTTCCTGTTTTGTCGCTCTCTTTGTTCTACACTTTATCGATACTCTTATGCAACTTCCTTTGGCTTCTCTGCAACCCAGATTAAACCAAGGGCTATCTCTCTCTCTCTCTCTCTCTCTCTCTGTCTTGACTTCATAAACTTTCTGTTAGGTACTAACCTTGCTGCTGCGTCCAGGTATTTTTAGCGAGGCCCTCCATCGTCTCATGGGTTGACTGTCCAGTCAGTTCCCTGTGCAAATGGATTCCATTTAGAAAATTTCTCATCCCTGCATAGTCCCCTCGTATATAATCTGGTTTACTATTTGTACCTCCTTCTCTTCTCACCACTCCTACCTCTACCTTGTATTGAAAGCTGAGCGCCATATGGTCACTAGTTTCTAGTGGCAGCCCATATTCAATTTCATCTGTGTAAGTCTAGTTAAACTGGTTCCTCCAGTGCCTTCGCTCTTGTGACTTTTTCCATTACTACCTCCATTAATTTTGTTCTCCATGTTTCTAGTCCTCCATATGGATAACAGTTCTCAAGTCTGTTTAATTGTGATTTATATCACCTACAATCAGTAGCTTAGCTTTTGCCTTGATCTCTGTGTCACGTTCTCTAGAATCTGCGTTGTGGCTTTGTTGTTCTCTACATACTTCTGTTGTTCGGTGGGGTTTATTAACCACTGCTACTATTATCTTGGGTTTTTCAGTTATTATTTCCCCTACTATATAGTTTTTGCAATTACCAGTGTCCGTGTTACCCATCTCCACTGATTCTTTACCATTAGTGTAACACCACTTCTTCTTTATCTCTCTCTCTCTCTCTCTCTCTCTCTCTCTCTCTCTCTCTCTCTCTCTCTCTCTCTCTCTCTCTCTCTTTCTCTCTCTTCTCACTATCAAATACCCCTTTGGGAACAAAACACTGGTTAACATTCAAAAAAGTTTTGTCTCTGTGATAGCTGTAATATCTGGATTTTTTCTTCTGCTCCGTTTTTTAGTTCACCACTCTTGTTTGTGATACCATCTGCGTTTGTAGACCAAACTGGTGTACAAACGCAGATGGTATCACAAACAAGATGGTATCACAGTTTACATTGAGACTTCTGTTATAGAGACTGGGTTCTGGAGAGAGTTCGTCAGTGAAAGAGATGGAAGTAATGAAGGCCCCACGAAAGCCAAAGTGATAGGAAATGTTATGAGAGAGAGAGAGAGAGGGGGGGGGGGAAGAGAGAGGAGGAAATGAGGGAATGTAAGTGAGAATGGGAGTAGGCTAAGGAACAGTGGAAAGTATGTGTCACACCACCTGTGTCACACCACTTGTGTCATACCACCTGCGTCACACCACCTGAGTCACACTACTTGTGTCACACCACCTGTGTCACACCACTTGTGTCATACCACCTGCGTCACACCACCTGAGTCACACTACTTGTGTCACACCACCTGTGTCACACTATCTATGAAATACCACTTGTGAAAACACTTAATGCACACCACTCATACCACACTACCTGCAACAAGTAACGCACAATACCGTGAATGCATCAGTTCACAGCAAACCACAATTCCGTGTATTCCTGGAGTATACCTGGCGAGGGTTTCGGAGATAAACGACCCCGGGGCCCGGTCTGTGACCAGGCCTCCTGGTGGATCAGGGCCTGATTAACTAGGCTATTACTGCTGGCTGCACGCAGACCGAAATACGAACCACAGCCCGGCTGATAAGGAACTGACTTTAGGTGCCTGTCCAGCGCCTTCTTGAAGACAGCCAGGGGTCTATTGGTATTCACCCTTATGTATGCTGGGAGGCAACTGAACAGTCTTGGGCCCCTGACACTTACTGTGTTGTCTCTTAGCGTACTCGTGGCGCCCGTGCTTTTCATTGGGAAGGATGATGCACCGCCTGCCTAGTCTTTTGCTTTCGTAGGGAGTGATTTTCGTGTGCAAATTTGGGACTAGTCCCTCTAGGATTTTCCAAGTGTATATTATCATGTGTCTTTCTCGTCTGCGTTCCAGGGAATACAAATCAAGGGGCTTCAACTGTTACCAGTAGTTTAGGTACTTTATCGCATTTGTGCGTTCCGTGAAGGTTCTCTGTACATTCTCAAGATCTGCAATATCACCTTGTGTACAGCAATATTCCAGCCTATCAAAAATTTCCCACCCATACCTCCACACTAGTACGTCCATGTCAGTGCATCAACACTACTATTACTTACCTGTCACCGTCAGTGTCTGGACGTAGTCTGGAAGACTGGGTTTACCCTCGCTACTGTTGCTGCTGCTTGTTGACGTGGGCGTGCTGACGGGCGTGTGACTGGGCGGGTGAGTGGGCGTGTGGGCAGGGCTGTGTGTGGGCGGCGGTGCTGGGGTCGTCGACGACATTCCTACCAAGAAACATGTGGAACATATATAATAACGAGATATATTTCGGTCATTGCGCGATCCGAGAGAGGTATCCCAGAAAGGTATCAGAGAGAGGTATCCCAGAGAGGTGTCCCAGAGAGGTATCCCAGAGAGGTGTCCCAGAGAGGTATCCCAGAGAGATATCCCAGAGAGGTGCCCCAGAGAGGTATCCCAAAGAGGTATCCCAGAGAGGTATCCCAGAGAAGTATCACAGAAAGGTATCCCAGAGAGGTATCCCAGAGAGGTATCCCAGAGAAGTATCCCAGAGAAGTATCCCAGAGATGTATCCCAGAGAGGTATCCCAGAGAAGTATCTCAGAGAGGTATCCCACAGAAGTATCCCAGAGAAGTATCCAAGAGAGGTATCCCAGAGGGGTATCCCAGAGAGGTATCCCTGTATTCTGATAAATAGCCTAGAAAACTGGCAGGTTGAACAATAAAGCACTTGTGCAGCATTTGGGAATATTCATTGTAGAAACGTTTCGCCACACAGTGGCTATATTGAACTAATGAAGCCACTGCGTGGCGAAACGTTGCACAAGAGTGTCATTCTTCTATCCCCGTTTTGCATAACCCGAACCCCATGTACCTCCCTGCCAGCGAAAGGAATAGTACAGTGCGGCATAAATTTCTAACCCAGTTGAATATTAGCGTTGAAGGTCTGAAGTCAGAAGAGGAATTAACAAATCAACACATGGACACTAATATCAAACCATACCACGGGTGGGGATAGAACCCGCGATCAGAGAGTCTCAGTAAATATTTTAAATTAGGGCATATTAGCGAGACCTGGTTACAGACCAGGCCGCGGGGGCGTTTACCTCCGAAATCCTCTCCAGGTATACTCCAGGTATACACAACCCTAAAGCCAAGCCGGAGAGGCATTCTCTTGATATCTCAACACCAGCATATTTAGTCTGAAGTTGTTCAGAATTGTGAAAACAATCAAATGAAGAACTACGGATTATTATTATTATTATAATCAAAAAAGAAGCGTTAAGCCACAAGGACTATACAGCTAAGAACTACGGAAAAACCTCATAAAAATCAGTTTGGGATCTACACTACACAGACCAAAACCAGTCCAGAGTTTTCTCTGAGAAAGTTTGACCAGCGTTTTATTAGGCACGTAAGTAATTAAGTTTTACTGACGCTTTAGGTACACAACAAACAGTTTTTTTTTTTTACAGTGGTTTTGAAGGTACATACACATTATGTATCTCTACGTAGGACAACTCTATAAAGTCCAACATTATGACTGACTTTTGACCACAGGAGACATCCTCGAGTTATTGCAGAGAATGCGATAAAATTTGCAACTGCAGATCCTAAACCCGTTTCATAAAATGAATCAATTATTAATGATTTATTTCAATTAAGGGAAAGTGCTAAACCATTAGGGGTCATATAGCACCTGTAGAATGGGAGATTTTCCTATTCGATCCAAGGAATGAGAGGTTAAGTCCGGTTCCTTGGATCAAAAACCAATTCACCAGCGCTAAAGGAAAAATAATTCAACAGTATTGAACCATAATATACCATTTCAAGATTAAAATCAGCAATATGGCGGCTACTCCGTCAACAATAACAGACTTCTGACAGACTTCTGACAGACTTCTGACAGACGATGCAACATCCCCCCAATGAAAAGCAGGGGTGTCACTAGCACGTTAAGAGACCATACAATAAGTGTCAGGGGCCCGAGACTGTTCAACTGCCTCCCAGCACACATAAGGGCGATTACCAACAGACCCCTGGCAGTCTTCAAGCTGGCACTGGACAAGCACCTAAAGTCAGTTCCTGATCAGCCGGGCTGTGGCTCGTACGTTGGTTTGCGTGCAGCCAGCAGCAACAGCCTGGTTGATCAGGCTCTGATCCACCAGGCGGCCTGGTCACAGACCGGGCCGCGGGGGCGTTGACCCCCGGAACTCTCTCCAGGTAAACTCCAGGTAAACTCCAGGATTCACGAGTGTTGAAATGTTGAAACCGACCGAAGGGGGTTTTCTAGAGCCCGACAGAAACCAGTTTCAGGAATGGCCTCTATAAATTCGAGCAGATGGCACCTGCACTTGTCAATTATTCCCTCAGTTAAGAATATTTGACCAGAGTTGAAAATTTAAAGCTGATCGGATAAAGGAAATTATAAAGACAATGACTGAAGAAAGTTATTGATAAATAAGAACTTGTACAATATTTCAAAGTTTACGAAACTCGTTAAAATTATAAATACTATGGAAACATAAGATTTCAATATTTCTCAGCTTTTTCTTTTTCCCTGTTTCATTGTATTTAAAATTCTCTCCATTACTCTGCGAAAAGTTATTTGATTTTTTGTGTTAAAAAAAATTCCAATTATATGAGTCTACTCGGAGAGTGTTGTGAAAAGTCTTGGTCCCTTCACACTTATTGACTTTTTTTTCATGAAATTGGCAGACTGGTACGTACAAAGCCATAAAAAAATCAGTATATAAATACAATAAATTGTTTCAAACCAACAGGAAGTAAAAGTCTCTACCTATTGCAACTTATAATTAACATAAGTCAAAGTGAAAGTTTGAATCCTATTAGAAAACACATTCTCCAGTAACTGCTCTGAATCCAACAATTCCAATTTTTGGAACATTTTTTTCACGAAAATTTCGTATTTTCACCTAAAGAATCCTTCTTACGAAATATATATACATGTTAATATATATACATGTTAATATATATACATGTTAATATATATACATGTTAATATATATACATGTTAATATACATACATGTTAATATATATACATGTTAATATACATACATGTTAATATATATTCATGTTAATATATATACATGTTAATATATATACATGTTAATATATATACATGTTAATATACATACATGTTAATATATATACATGTTAATATATATACATGTTAATATATATACATGTTAATATATATACATGTTAATATATATACATGTTAATATATATACATGTTAATATATATACATGTTAATATATATACATGTTAATATATATACATGTTAATATATATACATGTTAATACATATACATGTTAATATACATACATGTTAATATATATACATGTTAATATACATACATGTTAATATATATACATGTTAATTATATATACATGTTAATATATATACATGTTAATATATATACATGTTAATATATATACATGTTAATATATATACATGTTAATATATATACATGTTAATTATATATACATGTTAATATATATACATGTTAATATATATACATGTTAAATATACATACATGTTAATATATATACATGTTAATATACATACATGTTAATATATATACATGTTAATATATATACATGTTAATATATATACATGTTAATATATATACATGTTAATATATATACATGTTAATATATATACATGTTAATATATATACATGTTAATATATATACATGTTAATATATATACATGTTAATATACATACATGTTAATATTTTGAAGTCGCTAAAATAAATTCTTCATTTACTGAATGGAAGTCAATATCACCATATATTTAATAACACTGGAAAATTGGGACTTACACAACCCGACAACAACGTGAAGTTTGCTTTTTTGGGAAACACATCCAGTCTCAACGTTTGAAGCCGATCGGAAGAGGCATTCCCCAGTTATCGTACGGATTCCAACGATTTCAAGTTATATATTCAACAAACAAGCCGTATCCCACCGAGGCAGGGTGGCCTAAAAAGGAAAACAAAAGTTTCTCTTTTTAAATTAAGTAATATATACAGGAGAAGGGGTTACTAGCCCCTTGCTCCCGGCATTTTAGTCGCCTCTTACAACACGCATGGCTTACGGAGGAAGAATTCTGTTCCACTTCCCCATGGAGATAAGAGGAAATAAACAAGAACAAGAACTAGAAAGAAAATAGAAGAAAACCCAGAGGGGTGTGTATATATGTGCTTGTACATGTATGTGTAGTGTGACCTAAGTGTAAGTAAAAGTAGCAAGACGTACCTGAAACCTTGCATGTTTATGAGACAGAAAAAAGACACCAACAATCCTACCACTCACTTGGCAGGACGGTAGTACCTCCCTGGGTGGTTGCTGTCTACCAGCCTACTACCTATAATATATATATATATATATATATATATATATATATATATATATATATATATATATATATATATATATATATATATGTATATATATATATATATATATATATATTATATATATATATATATTATATATATATATATATATATATATATATATATATATATATTATATATATATACGAGGCTTGTTGAATCTTCAGAGCAGCTCATAGAACTTGTAGCAGCTCTAGAGTATTATATAGACCTTTTAGAGCTCTAGAGTGATTTATAAAGGTTTTAATGGCTCCAGAGTGATCTATAAAGCTGTTTACTATTCTAGAGAGTCTATAAAGCTTATTCCAGCTTTACACTGAGCTATAAAGCTTGTTACAGCTCTAGACTGATATATTGAGCTTGTTAAAGCTCTAGTTTAGCTCTAATAGAGTTTGTAACAGTTTTATTACAAAACGTTTCAGCTTTTATCACGATTGTTACAGCATTGCTGAAGGTTGCTCTAATATAGCTCTAATAGAGCTTCCTACAGCTGTAGAGTACTCTGAGCACTAAGAGCTCTGGAGTTCTCATTACAGGTCTTGTAGATTACAAGAGCTTTCTTAGAGTACCGATAGACTTTGTTACAGCTCTAAAGTGCTCTGAGTAACTAGGCACAGCTCTAGGTATAACAGCTTTAGTGAAAGTTGCTCTAAAGAGCCAGTTACAGCTCTAGAGTGCTATAACTGAGTTCATTACATCTCTGGAGTACTCCAAAAAAATAATTATATTGCTAGAGTGCTTACTCAGCTCTAGGGTGCTCTAGTAAGCTAGTTACAGCTTTAGAGTGCTCGTTACGGTCTAGCTGAGTTCACTGCATCTCTAGACAACCAAACTAGACTCAAGTAGACTGTAGTTACAGCTCTAGAGTGCTCTGAGAGTCTAGTTACAGCTCCAGAGAGTTCAAGAACCTAGTTACCGCTCTAGCGTGCTCTGAGAACCTAGTTACAGCTCTGAAGTGCTGTAAGAACTTAATTACAGCTCTAGAGTGCTCTAGAACATAGTTACAGCTCTAGAGTGCTCTAAGAACCTAGTTACAGCTTTAAAGTGCTCTAAGAATCTAGTTACAGCTCTAGAGTGCTCTAAGAACCTAGTTAAAGCTCTAGAGTGCTCTAGAACATAGTTACAGCTGCTCTAAGAATCTAGTAACAGCTCTAGAGTGCTCTAAGAGTCTAGTTACAGCTCTAGAGTGCTCTAAGAATCTAGTTACAGCTCTAACGTGCTAGGTACAGCTCCAATTGAGTTCTTCACAGCTCTAGAGTGCTCTAAGGAGCTTTATATCTTCCAGTACTATCTAGAGATGCATATACATAATCTGAACCGTCCCTTGCAGGGAGTGCCTTGATGATGGTGAAGGGCTCTTGATCCGAGGAAACAGAGCTACCTCCACTTCCCGGGCTCAACTCTGTTCGCTTCCCGCTCCATAGGGACTCTGTGACCCCTTCGAGTTTAGAGCTTCGCATTGAATGTACTACTACCACTACTACTACTAATAATAATAATAATAATGTAATAATTAATAATAATAATAATAATAATAATAATAATAATAATAATAATAATAATAATAAGAATAATAATAATAATAATAATAATTATAATAATAATAATAATAATAAGAAGAAGAAGAAGAAGAAGAAGAAGAAGAAGGATGATGATGATGATGATGATGATGATGATGATGATGATGATGATGATGATGATGATGATGATGATGATGATGATGATATAATAAGGCCCACAACATGCGTGTTATTATACAAGTTTGCCAGCCTAACACAACTGCCCACAAAGTTCAAACGAGAAACTTTTAAATCACCATTGATAAAATATCAAAGAATAAAATTTATCACGTAAAAAAAATTAGATTTTTTTTTAATATATATTTATGTATATTTTAATAAAATCTTAATTATTTAGGAACAAATGGTGTAATATATATATATATATATATATATATATATATATATATATATATATATATATATATATATATATATATATATATATATATATATATATATATATATATATAGCTGGCTGAAGATTACGTTACTCACCTGGTGACAATAACAGCCGTGATGATAACAGTTTTGGTAACACTGGTGATGATAACAGTGTTGGTAACACTGGTGATGATAACAGTGTTCACAGCCTGTTAGTGGCACTAGTTATGACAGCCTCGGTGACACTGATACCACTAGGGATGATAGTAGCAATCACAGCCTTATGCTGACACTGGCGCTGACACAGCCTTGTGATGACACTGATGCTGACATAGCTTCGTGCTGATACTTGTGCTGATACGGCCTGGTACTGACGCAGCCTTGTATTGACATAGCCTTGTGCTGACACTGGTACTGACACACCTGGTACTGACACTTGCTGATACAACCTGGTTCTGATACAGTGTGGTGCTGACACAACCTGGTACTAATAATAGTGCTGACAGTGGTGCTGGCTGCGGCACTGACACGTGCTGACACTGGTACTGATACAGCCTGGTGTTGATGCAACTTGATTCTGACACAGCCTGGTGCTAACACTAGTACTGACACTGGTGCTAACACTGGCACTGACAGTCTGTTGCTGACACGGGCACCGAAAGCCTGGTTCTGACACTAGTGCTGACACGTCCTACTGCTGACACTAGTGCTGACACAGCCTCCAGTGGTGGCTATTAATCCACTAACAACCTCTCAGGGTCTGCCCCAAAAGCACTCAACCCTCGCGCCTATACGGGTACTTATGCCCGGTTGCCAACGTGTGCCTTTGTAACCTCTGGGGCGCCCTCCTGCTCTTGCCTCTGCATATACCCGTGTTTAATTATAATTTTTCTCTAGTTTTTTTATGTATTAAATGGTTATCTATTTACAGGAAATTTAATTTCTAAACATGCCTCCCCCCCCCCCCCAAGTCCGAAAAATATCGTATAAATAAATGACTTCAATAAAGTATTTTATCTCGTTATTGTAATCATTAATATTCTCACAAAAAAATATTTTACTTAATATATACCTATAATATATATAACTTAATATATAATTATAAAGGTTACAGCTTGCCACATATCGGTAGAAAACGCGTTACAGGGGATCTCAGCAAGCCATTGGATGGGATCCCGTGACGTTATGAACACTATAGCCAATTACAGCGAGGCCACTGAGACCTCAGCGCCCTATTGGCTGGGCACCTAGTTACGTCACAGGCACAACAGCCAATAGCAGCCCAGCTAACCTCTGGACGGGCGTCTGATAATGTCGCCGCCTGGGCAACCAATGGAAGAGCAGCCTCTGACAACTTAGCCAGTCATTGGTCAAGTCTCTGGCTACGTCAGAGACAGCAGGACCAATTGGAGCGCGGTCACTGAGACCCGAGCACAGATGGTGGTCTCACTGAAGTGATTTCTTGTGTAAAATTGATTTCAGATCACTGAGGTACAGAGCACCAGCAAGACTGTTCCTCCAGCCATCAACTAGAAAGTAATATCAATGTAAGAAACAGTGAAGATCTTACGTTAAACGTCACCACAATAAAGCGTAAATAACCACATACAAACAATATTATGATGTGATACAACTGGCGGGTCCGCTTAGCGGGGTCCACTAGGGTAATGTGCTTTATTAAAAGGTTGTGAAAACTGGGTAAAAGGGACTGAAGGAACCCCAGACACAAGTTTTTTTCATAGTACATCGTCTCTTTCTTCTTGGGGAGACAATCAAAATAATTTCGTGGTGGCTAGACGCGGACAGTGGCAGCGTTATTAAAACACCTTGATATATATATATTGTTTGTGTTCCTTATTGTGGTTAACATTCCTGTGTGTGTGTGTGTGTGTGTGTGTGTATGTGTGTGTGTGTGTGTGTGTGTGTGTGTGTGTGTGTGTGTGTGTGTGTGTGTGTGTGTGTGTGTGTGTGTGTGTGTGTGTGTACTCACCTATATGTACTCACCTATTTGTGGTTGCAGGGGTCGATTCACAGGTCCTGGCTCCGCCTCTTCGCTGGTCGCTACTAGGTCCACTCTCTCCCTGCTCCATGAGCTCTGTCGTATCTCTTTTTAAAGCTATGTCTGGTTCCTGCCTCCATTACGTCACTCTCCATATTGTTCCACTTCCTGACAACACTGTGACTGAAAAAATGCTTCCTAACATCCCTGTGACTCATTTGAGTCTTCAAATTCCAGTTGTGACCTCTTGTTGCTGAGTCCCATCTCTGAAATATTCTGTCCCTATCCACCTTGTCAATCCCTATCAGTATTTTATGTGTTGTTATCATGTCCCCCCAATCCCTCCTGCCCTCCAGTGTCGTCAGGTTGTTTTCTCTTAACCTCTCCTCGTAAGACATACCCCATATCTCCAGGACTAGACTAGTCTTGTTGCAAACCTTTGCACTTTATCTAATTTCTTGACGTGCTTGACCAGGTGTGATACTTACCCCAAGATACTTTCCCCTGAGTGAAGTTTACAGCCGTTGGCCACTTAGCCCCTGGCTCCGTCTGCAGTCTTCTTTGACTTTCCCCAATCTTCATGACTTTGCACTTGGTGGGGTTAAACTCCAAGAGCCGGTTGTTGGACCAGGTTTGCAGCCTATCCAGATCCCTATGTAGTCCTGCCTGGTCCTCATCAGATTGAATTCTCCGCATTAGTTTCACCTCGTCTGCAGACAGTGACACCTCTGAGTCTATCCCTTCTGTCATGTCATTCACATATATCAGAAACAGCACCGGCCCTAGGACGGACCCTTGTGGAACATAGCTCGTCACAGGCGCCCACTCTGACACCTAGTCATATACCATCGCTCGTTGTTTCCTTCTTGTCAGGTATTCTCTGATCCATTGCAGTGTCTTTCCTGTTATTCCTGCCTGCTCCTCTAGTTTTTGCACTATCTTGTACGGAACTGTGTCAAAAGCCTTCTTACAGCCCAACAAAATGCAGTCTACCCACCCGTCTCTCTTTCTTGTCTTACTTCCGTCACCTTGTCGTAAAACTCCAGAAGGTTTGTGACACAAAATTTTCCCTTCCTGAAATCGTGCTGGTTATCACGTATATGTTCATTCCTCTCTAGGTGCTCTACCATCCTTTTCCTGATAAGCTTCTCCATGACTCTGCGTACTATACATGTTGATAAATTAGACACATGTGCAACTCTTGGGTATCTTTATTGAGGAAATGTTTCGCCACACAGTGGCTTCATCAGTCCATACAAAGGAGAATCTTGAAGAACAGGAGGAGAATGAGGTAATCAGTCCCTCAACCTTGAGTCGATGTGGTCAATCTTCTATTCAAGATTGATGGACTGACCACATCGACTCAAGGTTGAGGGACTGATTACCTCATTCTCCTCCTGTTCTTCAAGATTCTCCTTTGTATGGACTGATGAAGCCACTGTGTGGCGAAACATTTCCTCAGTAAAGATACCCAAGAGTTGCACATGTGTCTAATTTATCAACATGTCGGTTCTCTGAACCATTCATCTACAAATACTATACATGTCAGTGACACTGGTCTGTAGTATTAATGTTTCGTGTCTGTCTCCTTTTTTAAAAACTGGGACTACATTTGCTGTCTTCCATACCTCATGTAGTTGCCCTGTTTCAATAGATGTGTCAAAAACTTATTAGTGGCACACACAGCGCCTATGCTTCCTCTCTCAAGACCCATGGAGAAATAGCCGGTCCCACTGTCTTTGTACTCACCTATTTGTGGTTGCAAGGGTCGATTCAAAGCTCCTGGCCCCGCCTCTTCACTGATTGCTACTAGGTCCTCTCTCTCCCTGCTCCATGAGCTTTATCAAACCTGATTAGAGAACATACAAAGAAGAATGACTAAAATGATTTACTGTGTAAGGAACCTCCCGTATGAAGATAGACTTAAAGTCTTAAATCTCCACTCTCTGGAGAGGCATAGAATGAGGGGAGATATCATTGAAGTGTATAAGTGGATGACGGGCATAAACAAGGGAGATATTTATAAAGTACTGAGGGTGTCGAACCAGGTAAGAACCAGAAATAATGGATTTAATTTGGATAAATTTAGATTTAGAAAGGACATAGGTAGGTACTGGTTTTCTAACAGAGTTGTAAATGCGTGGAACAGTCTTCCCAGTGGGGTGGTAGAGGCTAGGACCTTGGGTAGCTTTAAGAAGAGACTGGACAAATATATGAGTGGGAGGGGCTGGGTTTGATTGGTGTTAAGGGGTACCGGAGTTATTTCTTGAGTAGCTTTAGGTAGATGTCGTTTTGATAAGGACCTGCCTCGTATGGGCCAGTAGGCCTTCTGCAGTGTTCCTACATTCTTATGTTCTTATGTTCTTATGTTCTTGTCAGGTATTCTCTGATTCATTGCAGTGCCTTTCCTGTTATGTGTGCTGATCCTCTAGCTTTTGCAGTAAACTCTTGTGAGGTTACTGCCTTCTTGCAGTCCAAAAAAATGCAGTTGATCCACCCCTCTCTCTCTTTTCTTACTTCTGTCACCTTGTCATAAAACTCCAGTAGGTTTGTGACACAGGATTTTCCTTCCCTGAAACCGTGCTGGTTGTCAATTATACACTTGTTTCTTTCCAGGTGCTCCACCACTCTCCTCCTGATGATCTTCTCCATGATTTTGCATACTATACACGTTAGTGATACAGGTCTGTAGTTTAATGCCTCATGTCTGTCTCCCTTTTTAAAAATTGGGACTACATTTGCCATCTTCCATACCTCAGGGAGTTGCCCAGTTTCAATGGATGTGTTGAAGATCATTGTTAATGGCACACACAGCATCTCTGCTCCCTCTCTAATGACCCACGGAGAGATGTTGTCTGGTCCCACTGCTTTTGAGGGTTCAAGTTCACATAGCAGCTTCTTCACCTCCTCCTTGGTTATGTGTACCTCATCCAGCACTTGTTGGTGTTCCCCCCTGTTCTGATTTCCTGGAGTCCTACTGGTTTCCACGTAAATACTTCTTTAAATCTCGTGTTGAGCTCCTCACATACCTCTCGGTCGTTTCTTGTGAAGTCCCCATCACCCTTCCTCAGTCTGATTACCTGGTCCTTGACTGTTGTTTTCCTCCTGATGTGGCTATACAACAGCTTCGGGTCGGACTTGACTTTCGATGCTATGTCATTTTCATATTGTCGCTGAGCCTCCCTTCTTATCTGTGCGTATTTGTTTCTGGCTCTTCGGCTAATCTCTTTATTTTCTTGAGTTCTCTGTCTTCTGTACCTTTTCCATTCTCTAGTACACCTAGTTTTTGCCTCCCTACACCTTTGGGTGAACCAAGGACTCGTTCTGTTCTTCTCATTATTTCTGTTTCCCTTGGGAACAAACCTTTCCTCTGACTCCTTGCATTTTGTTGTCACATAGTCCATCATTTCTTGTACTGGTTTTCCTGTCAGTTCCCTCTGCCACTGAATGTCTTGCAGAAAGTTCCTCATGCCTGAGTAGTTCCCCCTTTTGTAGTTTGGTTTTTCCCATCCTATTCCTGCTACTCTCTCCACTTGGAGCTCAACTATGTAGTCAAAGCACAGAACCACATGATCACTAGCTCCTAGGGGCCTTTCATGCATGATATCCTCAATGTCCAAACTACTCAAGGTGAATACAAGGTCCAGTCTTGCTGGATCATCCTCACCTCTCTCTCTGGTGGTGTCTCTAACATGTTGATGCATGAAGTTTTCCAGAACCACATCCATCATCTTGGCTCTCCATGT